ATGTGACAGGTATTGGTTGCTAAAATTTGTTGAAAGGATGTTATTTGACAGACTGTTACCCTATAGGTGGAAAATCACGGCCTGTTAATTTGAAAATCCTGGTGAAATTCACCCTAAATATATCAATGCATGACATAGTTCACACATACCAAATCAGAATTGAAAACTTTACTCACATATGCAAAATCCGGTACGTCGTCTATGAGAAAAAGTAAAGTTGGGGAATATGGAAAAGAGACGAAACGTCATATTGAAATTAGTAGAAAAAATTAGAGGAAAAGTGGCAATGTATAACACTGATCAACAGCCAAAAAATATCCTAAATAAAATCAACAAAATATTACTATTTTTAATGTGCTAAAACCGGAATGAAACTTATTTTTTCAATATTAGTTCAAGTTTTAGAGATACGGTAATTATATGTGTTCCTGCTGTGACAGTGTTAATATACTGTAATTCACAAGAATGCACGTGCTACATTTTTATATTCGGCAAGGAAAGATGATGTAATCGGCATGATTGTGTTACGTTATACATACGTGTACATTATATTGTTTTATATTAGCCATTTTTTCCTCAGTTGGCTGACAGCGTTCATGCAAGATGTCTCGAAAGTGTGTAAACAATCCAGATCAGTTTTGTTACGTGTGTGGTGATGTGACTTTTGCGTCTCAGAGACGGTCTATTACTCCACTAATAACAAAGGCATATCAGCTTTATTTCGGTTGTAAACTAGGTGATCAAGACAAACAGTGGGCACCCCACATCTGCTGTAATACATGTGCTTCAAGTCTGAGGAGCTGGTTAAATGGCAAAAAACGGTCTATGCGCTTTGCTGTCCCAATGGTTTGGAGAGAGCCTACAAATCATATTAATGATTGTTACTTTTGCATGGTACCTTGTGTTGGACAAGCCACAGGTATGTCCAAGAAAAAAAAATCGGTTATTAACTACCCAAACATACCATCTACGATGAGACCTGTGCCTCACAGTGACGAAAATCCTATTCCAAAACCCCCAGAATCCTACACTTGCGAATCAGAAAACGAATCAGATCATGCGATTGAGTGATTCGTCAGGAAGAAGATACGCCATCAACGTCAAGAGATCCTGATTTTATACCGAGCACGTCATGCCACCAACCGCACAAAATAACACAGTCAGAATTAAATGATCTTGTAAGAGATTTAGAACTTCCAAAATGTAAGGCAGAGTTACTTGGATCAAGACTGCAGCAGTGGAACTTGTTAGAAGACGATGTTTCGGTATGTGTTTTTCGTAAACGCCACAAAGACTTAGAACCATTTTTCTATATGGAGAATAACTTGGTTTTCTGCAGTAACATTAACGGCTTACTGGCGGCTTTGAATATAAACTATAACCCAGATGAATGGAGATTGTTTATAGACAGTTCAACATTGAGTTTAAAGGCAGTGTTATTGCATATTGAAAATATTTTACCATCTCTTCCTGTAGGGTATGCAGTTCACATGAAATAATCATATGACAATATGAAGTACCTATTGACATGCATAAAATACGATGAGCACCAATGGCATATTTGTGGCGATTTGAAAGTTGTTGCACTTTTACTTGGGCTGCAGCTAGGCTACACAAAGTTTTGCTGTTTTTTGTGTGAATGGGACAGTCGGGCAAAGGCACTTCATTACACCAGACAAAACTGGCCTGTTCGTCAATTCCTAGAGCCAGGTCAAAAAAATGTACAGCATATGCCATTAGTAGATTCGAAAAAAAATTTATAACCACCACTGCATATCAAGTTGTGCCTAATGAAAAACTTTGTCAAGGCATTAGATAGAGATGAGTCAGCTTTTCAATACCTGCGTCAGAAATTTCCAAGATTAAGTGAGGCAAAGGTTAAAGAAGGTATTTTTGTTGGGCCACAGATTCGAAATATTTTGAAAGATACACAGTTTGAAAACACTTTAACAGGTATTGAAAAAACTGCTTGGAATGATTTCCGCCTGGTGGTCACTAATTTCTTGGGAAATAGAAAAGCTGACAACTATAAAACCCTTGTCAAAAATATGCTGTCATCGTATCAAAAGATGGGCTGTAAATATGTCTCTTAAGATACATTTCCTACACTCACACCTGGACTTTTTTCCTGACAATTGCGGAGCCGTAAGTGATGAGCACGGCGAACGTTTTCATCAGGATATTTCAACAATAGAAAAAAGGTACCAGGGAAAGTGGAATCCTTCCATGCTTGCAGACTACTGTTGGACTCTTGGTAGAGATGCTCCAGAAACGATCCATAAAAGAACAGCAAAAAGACAGCGCATATAGTGACTCTTATAAGTATATGAATCTTGTTACTTTTTTTAATATATCCTTAAAAATAAAAAGTTTTTTTTCTTAACTGCAACTAATTTTTTTATTTCATTCATTTTTGGATTCAGCGCCCCAAAATTAACAAAGAAGTGCACTTTTCCAACAAGATACGATTGAAAAACTAAAATTTGTTGTCCAGTGTAATTTATTTTAAAATCTCGCCTCAAGCAGATCTCTAAATAACAAAAACGATTAAGGAAAATTCGTTTTTTCCATCTACGAAAATATTCCGAGTGCCAATTTCTTAGATACCTAAACGCCCATCTTTGCCCGCATATAATCAACTTCGCAAAGGGTTCATGTCAGTAGATTGAGGTCATCTTATATTCGCGCTTGGTTGACACCCTTGGTGTTATCCATTTTGTTAAGTTTTGTGCAATATATACATTGTTTAAAATATATTTAAAAAAAGGATTCGTCTCCGTATGGCGTATACTATTAAACATACGTAAATCCACAGGTTTGAAAGAAAATTTGTGCGGTTATAAATAACCACCTGTACTAGGTTAAATCGAGTTTTTCTTACTTAATTAATCGCTTGAGACTAGTTGCTACTTGAATGATGAAGCAGTCATTACTAAACAATCAACTAGTTGAAACCGTACTCTCAAAATCGTATCGAAGTAGTTATTGCTATCTATATTTATTTGTTGAGTGCACTGATACTAAAGCAAAATTAATTCGTTAATTAATGGGTTACTTCATTAGTATGTAAATTGTTGAAAACAGCGTTTAGTTGAATTAACAAATAAATTAAGACCATTCCATCATTTCAAACCATTCTAAAAAAGGGTTATTTGTAAATTATCGAATTGCGTAGTCTGACTTTCATGAACTAATTTATCTATTTAATAGATATTACATAAGTTACGCATTGATCGAATGCTGGGATTTTTTCGGAGGGCTTCACTAGTTTTTTTTTCTATTCCACGCATTATATTCAAGTTATCGTACATTTTATTTTCAAATAATAATAATAATAATAATAAATGGCCTTTATTTTACCTGGCGGGTTACATCAGCACAAGCTGTTTTTCAGAACCAACCAGGGCTAAAAAAAAATTCAAGTACATGCAAATACAACAAAAATACATTGAAGATAACATTTAAAGCAGAAAAAAATTTTTTTTTACACAATCGTAGCATGGTATAATGACCAAAAGACCAAAAGAGAAACGTGCAGCAACAGAGTACGTAGCAGAATCAAAAACCGTGATTAGAAGTAACTTTAAAAAAAGAAAATATTACGTATATGGCGGAAGATATAAAAATTAAAAGTAAACAGTAACAAATGTGTAAGCAAAACACAAACAAATGAAAAGTGACGAGTGAGAAAACATGCACAAATAAACAAATATAAAAATAAAATTACATAAAAATACATGCTAGATGAAATCAAAAAAAAAATACATGCTACATGTCATCAAAGACAAAGAGCCTAACTTTTCTTTTAAAGCTGGATACAGATAAAGTTTTCAAAGCTTGAGGTACTTTATTGTAGATGTAATAATGTATGTGTTGTGGAAATCGAACAGCAAATGCTGTAATGGTTTTTGATCACAACATTTACGTAGTGCCGCGGGAGCATAGTAACTTTGCATTTTTCGTAGCAACTATATTCATAGAACTAAAAAGAAATGCATGTTTTTTCACACCTTTGAGAAACTCAGTTGTGGTTGTATAAGGTTACGATTTTTTAAGGGGGACATTTTAAAAAAACAAAATGTATACAATACAAATATACTAAATAACATAGAAAATGCAACACCGACTAGGAGTGATGTAATTTTGAGCAGACTTTTACAAGTTTCAGGATCCTGATATGACAAAAAAAGTACGGCTCAGAATGCCTTCTACATTTTATCAGCGTATACTTCCATGATAGCAAATATGTTTACAAGTTTCTATCAAAATTCAATAAAAAATTTTATATGTCACTTAGTGTAAGTTTATTAATGTGTAAATACACTATTTAATAAATAGCATAGGTAAATAATCATTTTAGGTACCTATGAGTACTAGAAATATTAGAAATCGCCAAAAAGTTTCTCTTTACTGATTAGAAAATATCATGGCCTATCTCAAAGTAGTGATTCCGTCAATTGGTCACAAAGTACAGGATGTTAGTTTTATACATATATACAGAAAACTAACATCCTGTATTTTGTGACCGGAACGAATTGCTTGTTTAAACATATTAGATTTAAAGCCATAGGGTTTTGTATTTACCATATATGAGTCCCCTATTTCCAAAAGCGGCTAAATCCAAAATTGATGGTATTAAGAAAAAGGCGAAAAACTGTAATTCTTACTATTTGTAAGTTTGTGAGTCAGTAATACCGTAATATTAATGTATGTAGCACAATAAAGGATATTTGAAAAATAAAACATATTTTTTGTTTTATATGTCAGTATGGGAGGGGGGGGGTAGGGATGGATCTACCCGAGTTTGAATGTGAACTCAGGATTTACCCGGTATTGAAACGAAGTTTGTGTAAATTCTTTCCTGATGTATTAACATTAGATAACAAAAAGGAATAAAAAAGAAAATCATACATTCTTTCTTGTAAACTGTTTTGGGTACATCAACTTAAAACTCAACTTGAGAAGTAGCAAGTCCTTTTTGTTAAAAACGAAAATAAAAATCATAAAACATCAGCTTCAAAGCTACACTTGGTATTAGCAAAGCACACACTTTTATCATCAGCATTTTCTTCTGCTTGTGTTAAACTTTGTTGATTATTCATAACAGTCTTATAGTATTCCAATTCGAATTCTTCATTTTTGCTTCCACGCCGTTCCAAAATGTTTTGCCAAAAGTTCATCAACATTCTTTAGTTTTCTCGGGATTTATTTTCAAGTTATTTATACAAACGTTTTCTGGGGACATGAGCGATATCCTCTTCCCCCTTCTGCAGATGCCTTTAGCGTTATTCACATCAGACTGGTAATTTGGTTCACCCCTTACCAGCACTTGCAGAACGAGTCAGTATCAACCGCTTACATGACTTGATTTGTAAATGTAGTGAGGTTGGTGACTTGATGACATTTGCGGCCTCCTTTTTCCAATTTTGAATATGCCAGTCCTGTCCCAATTTTTTTAAAGTACCATAGTTTTCGAAAATATTATAATACGTTTCAGGCTTGACTATTGTGTCAAGTTTTTTTATCTTTTTTTCTATCAAGGCGAAAACTCGATCTGGAGGTAAAAAAGAATGGCCAGTGACCGGAAATATCAATTGCAGTTTTTCGATATGGCTCGGAGCTTCTAACATCCATTTAGCGCACATAGACAGAACAATACTATTTTTGTTCTGCCCAGTGCAGCCATCTGATACCAGTCTAATCTCTTTCACATTCTCAGGAATCTTGATTTTGTTTAAAGAGTCATAAACCGCTGAGGCGATTCCATGCGATCCCTTATGACATTCTGTTTCAAGCCATGTATGGATATAAACATTTTCTTTTAAAAGTTTTGCTTTTGATGATCCTATGACAACAGTAAAGTTGTAAAGATACAGTTGCCTTTGTAATATCTTATTTGATCAGGAATTTTCGGTAATACAAGTTTTTTTGGCAGTCAAATGTCAGAATCAATAGATCATCACTTTGGCCTCTGAGTTTATCATAAAATGCTTTTGCCCTTAGCTTATGTATGCATTGTTTCACTATTAAATCGTTTTTTACCTGCAAATCTTTCTCTCTCTTGATCATTTCTCTGTATTCAAGGCATTGCGAGCAGACATCTACTTGTGGCGCATTGAATCCTATATAATATACACGTCAACAGGATCTAGCCGGTCTTGTTCATAAACAAGAACATAATAGTTGGTGTAGCAGTGGATGTAGCCGGTTTTGGTAAAACCAAGGATATAGCCACTTTTGTAATAAAACACGCATCAGCTTTAGCCGGATTTGAAAATAAGACTGAAATAGTGTGCTGATTTATATAGATTTTGCCGCATTTTGGAAACGGGTATGTATTACAGTATATTACTAGAACCTTTGACTATGAGATGGCAGCATCCACACCATTTTTCGTAAATATGGATTTAGCCGCTTTTGGAAATAGGGGACTCATATATTGCCATACTTTGTATTTATGTAGCTTAATAAGAGAATCTTTAGCAGAAGCCGTTGAAAGTTTTTATTTTTAGGCAACCTGTAAACCTACAGAAAACACACAAATTATACAGTCAGCTTCAAATATTAAAAAAGAGGAAGAAGATGAAATAAAACACGGTAATGAATCACAACAGCAATGCGAAATTAATGAAAATACAAATAAACAGAGAGCAAAGCCTTCTGAGGAAGCTATGAAAAATAAGATTCCTCTACTAGAAAAAAATCTGAATGCTTTGTATTCTGCCACAGATACTATGCCAAACCGTGCTGACGTTGATAAACAGATCATTAAGTTGCGCGAGGAAATAAAAACAGCAAAACAGTCTTTAAACAGGAAGGTTCAAAACGCAGTTGCCCAGAAGAAACACAGGGATGAAAAGAAAGTTAGATGATATTTGTCATGAAAATCCAGAAATAAAAAAAGACTATCTCTGAGGGATTCAGTGGGACTTCCTAATCTTGAAAGCAATCAACATTCACTATTGAAAACAATCGCGGATATAGCTTTATTTGGGAGTGCAGCAGATGATAGAAGACGAACGGAATCAATTCGCAGCGTAAAAACTCTTGATGAACTCACACAAGAATTACGTAAAATAGGATTTGACATTAGTCGCAGTGGGACATATCTTCGTTTGATTCCCAGAAAATCTAATTCTGCAGAGGAACGAAGACATGTATCGATAGTCCCTGTTAAGCTCATTCGGGCTCAAACTGATCACCACAAGAGCCACTTAGATAGCAAGTTCGCATCCATACTTGGACCAGATCAAGTATTTTTCATATTTCAAGATGATAAAGCTCCGGCAAATAAGCAAGCACGTCTTCTAATGCACATGGAATATAGATAGAATCAAATTGCCTGATCACGATTGGGTAATCGCTGAGCGTCATAAATTAATACCATCTGTTTATGCTGGTATCAAAATCACTTCCAATATGCTAGGACAACCGCAAGCCGTTGGATATTCTGGACCAACGTACATCGCTATTCGAAGTGGAAAGCATAGTTCATCTACTGCTAATACTCATGCTCAGGATTTCGAGACGCTTGTCGAACTTCGACCATTAGCTAAAACTGACCATGGACTAGTAAAACCAGTGGTAATCATGACGGTTGATGGAGGGCCAGATGAAAATCCACGCCATCAAAAAATCATAGGGTTTGCTATACAACACTTTAAGCGACATGATCTCGATGCATTGTTTTTAGCTACCAATGCTCCTGGAAGAAGTGCGTACAACAGATTAGAGCGCAGAATGGCTCCTCTTAGTCGGGAACTGGCTGGTTTAATATTGCCTCATGACCATTTTGGGTCTCATTTGGATGAATGTGGCGTTACAATTGATGAACATTTAGAAAGATCTAATTTCGAATTTGCAGGAAATGTATTAGCTGAAGTATGGAAATTGATGGCTATAATGTTAATGCAAAAAATGTTGGGGCAGGTGAACAAGATCTTCCTGATTTTCCAGGCATTAAATGGTATTCATAACATATGCGTGAGAGCCAATACTTGCTTCAAATTGTAAAATTTAGAAATACAGAATGCTGTCGTCCAAGATGTGGCCTATTTAGATTACTAGACAATGGGTTTCTTCCACCACCAACAAACAGTTGATGACTTGGTTTTGGATGAAGGAGGGCAATTTCTTAATCTTCCAGTCAATTTAGCTCTACGCTTAAGTGCTTCACTCAAAGTTTTCCTGCAAATGCCCTACGATTATTTTTGTCCGACAGTAAAATTGAGGCTATCAAGTCGAACATGCAAAACGCGTGGTCTTTATCATGCTTCCGTCAAGTCACTAAATCGTCACATCGAAAATATTCATAAAAAAGTAAACCCGCACACTGATAGGAAAGTTAGACCTGTAAGAGTCGCTGCTCGTCGTGTTAATGAACTGATGTGCATTATTCAAAATTTAGAGCACCATGATGTTGAATGGCTCGATGAAAACGACGTAGACATTCCAAAATCCGATGAAAGCGAGCAAACTCACAACACTGAGCAGCAATCGAAGCAATCCAATGTCATCGAAAGCTTAGAATCATGGATTCGGGTTTCATGGACTCAATACTGTTAATTTGAATTTAATATATGTACCAAAAATTTAAAATAAGTTTTTTATGTTAGTAAGATATAATATTTTTGTCCTTTATCTTCTTATTTTTCAAATTATAATTATAACGTTATAATTATACTATTAAAAAAACAATACATTAATTGACAAATGTTTACGTAAGCATGGGGGGAGGGGGTAAGAGCTTTGCTTACTTTTGCTGACAAGGGGGATGGGGGGTAAATAATTGTAATAAATCTGCTTAAGTAATACTTGAACGGCCCCTTAGTTTATATAATCGATCGGTAGTTTACAAATGACATCACTTTACATGACATCCAGAGCGACAGACCGGTTTGTGTCGACGAGCTGAAGAGGAAATTATTTTTTCTCTATTGAAAGAACTGCAGATTATCTCTTCCTGTGGGTACGAGAATACAATTAAAATGGTACAATTTGTTCAAAAATTTGTTGAAGTCAAAGTTGCTGAAGATATTTGATACGAAATAAGCTTTAGCTAGCTCTCATAAGTCAGTTTTCTCACTGTGTACCTGCAAAGAGAATTTGCTGGCCCAACATTGCACAATTATTTCCCTTGATGGATGCCCTCTTTACTCTTTAGGCTTCTGACTCTCATTTCCGTCTCGTCTTGCAGGGAAAACCCTGTATTGGGGTACCGAGAATACAGATAAAGTTTCCCTCAGTTCCAGGCTACTTATTCAGGGCTAATTACTTTGGGTACAGTAGTTTATTCGATTCACAATAACGACAACTCCCACAATCATTAGAAAACATTGCCGATGATAAAAGAACATTCAAAATTCGCTTTCGCTCGATTTCAATAATTCATAGCGTCTGTTGCAACGTTCCTTTGACAATGGACACACCATTAGGGCGCTTTGTATCGTAGTTGACTGTGAGAAATTCCACCATCCACCGCACAAAACGATTTGCAAACGCTGAGAATCTGAAGGAATTTTTCGCTCTACTTGGCTGAATTTTCTTCGCAGGTTGCCATTGGCATGGGCGCAGCTAGAAGCAAGGTCTGTCGCAAACTAAAAAATGAACAAACATTTTCTGTTTCGGAAAATCGAATTTATTTTATTCAAGATAGAGTTAATGTAGCTATTTGCAAGGACCTGGATGGCCTCTACGTCGAAATAGCGCTGTCCCTTCATGGCCAAATGTAGTTTACCGAACAGGAAATAGTCACACGGTGTCATATCAGGAGAATATAATAATAATATTAAATGGCCTTTATTCGTCACATGATTACAAAATAATTGGCGTAAAAGGAATAGTGACGAAAAGGTGGAGTGTCGGCTTATTCTGTTTTTCAACCCGACCTAAAAAAACATTGTCACAAACTATAAACAGAGAAAAAAATACCTACTTTTGAATGGCACAATTCACAATATTGACCACCAAAAAGAGAAAAGCTTAAGATATTACACTTCCCAGAAAAAGAAAACAATTACCTGTGGATATGCGTAAAGTTAAATTCTAGCCATCCGATTGCTTTAACCTTTTTTTAAAATTGGTTCTTTGATCCTACTGACAGAGGAGGTTTAGCTTTGAATAAAGATAATATGGCGCTTTAAGGAGAAGGGTCTTATGTACCAGAGATAGGCAATGCAGTTTCCTCAATTTATTCATCTTAAACCATTCCGATTGGTCAAAAGCACTACTAATATGATCAAATTTACGGATTCCATAAGAAAATCTGATGCATGAGTTTTGTATCATCTGAATCCGCTCGGCATCACGTTCTACGAGAGCAGGTTTGACCTTGAGCTTTGTTGACAGGACACTTCGACTCGGGTATAACTGACGAAGCACATTGTAGGACGCATTGCACAGTTGGTTAACATGTTTAGTTTTTTGCATTCGGTTACGAAGGATATGTCTTCATTATTCACCATAATATTAATGCGATATTGATTTATTCCACGATTCTTTTCGGGCCCAAATAAAATGCGGCAAGATTTGCCAGCATTCAGTTTTAGATTGTGAGCACTAGATATGTCAAAAATAGACTGCAGATCTTGATTGATTTGATGTTGGCCAAGCATATATTCATCAGGATCGAAGCTATTATAAAGTTGGGTGTCGTCGGCGTAATGATGAACGAGTCAGTAGCTGGCGGATTTATGAAAATCACATATACAGGGCGTCCGCAAAGTTGGGGTTTTCCTTTTCAGAAACAACTACCCTTGAAATATCAAAGGTAATGTGTAGTGAAACGAGGGCGACCAAGTAAAACAAAATAAAGGAAAAAGTACTCACTCTCCAGTTGACGAGAAGGGCTAAGTACGTCTCTGCCCGAAATCATACCGCTCCAACAGAAAATGAAATCAGCTGATGCGCTACCGAGCAGACGCAGGCAAACAAGGAAGACAAAATGTTGCGTAAAAAGTCTAGGTATTGCATCCCGTCCAATCGATTTGGGAGAATAAATGGTCCAATGAGCATGCCAGCCCAAAGATTCATCGAAAATGTTTGTTGAAAATGTGCCCGACGGACAGCGTGCGGGTTTTCTACTGACCAAACATGAGTGTTGCGAAAGTTATTCACCCCATTACGCGTGAACGTAGATTCGTCTGTCACCAATATGCACTTCAAAAAGTCCAGATTATTGTCATGTTGATGCAACAACCACTCACAAAACCGCACTCTTGCTGGAAAATCGTCAGGTTGAAGGGCTTGTACACGTTGGACGTGAGACGGATACAGCCCCTCTTCACGCAGCGTTTGCCACACTTCAGTTTTTGATACTTGCACTTCTCTAGCCACGTCTCTAGTGCTTGTTGAGGGATTCTCGTCTACGCGATTACCTCTACACGCGTGACCGTAAACCCCTACTTTGCGGACACCCTGAATAAAGAGCAAATATAACAGGACCCAAAATAGATCCTTGAGGGACACCAAAATTTCTGAATAAAGAAGTTGATATATTATTTATATATTTATTGTTTATATGGGGGGTGGTTGTTGGTTAAAACGCCATTTTTTGTCAAAATATCGGACAAGCGTCGATCGATGAGTTGGTGCATTATCGTGTAACAGCTCCAGCTTCCTTCTTCGTGATATTCGTTCCGAACACAATGAATACGCGACAGCATAACACCAAGATAAAACACAACATTAACCGCTTGACTCGGTGGAATGACTTCTTTGTAAATAATTCCGTTCGAATCGTAGAACTTTGGACTTTTCCAAACGGCTTTTTTTTCGGATTTGGCTCGCTTGAGTGCTTCCATTCGGCACTTTGACGCTTGGTTTCGGGATCTTATTGAAAACGCCACGTTTCGTCAAGTTTTTGTCTAATTTTTGACCTCTCAAATGTTGAATTCGAAGATATCATTTGTTCATCTTGTGCGGAACAAACCGTTAACACGCCTTTCTCATGCCCAAATTCTTGGTCAAAATGCGATAGTTTGAATATTTAATTCCATTTCTATGTGTCGCAATACTGTCACTTTGAGCGTGATAACTCCGTGTTTTCGATTGACTTGAAATTTTGACAGGGCTTCAATGAAAGCTGTACCTACCCTACCTCCGGTAATAGATGGCGCTACTACAAAATGGTGAAGTCAGAGAAGAACAAGTTAAAGTCAGTTACAACCTGGATAATCTTGACTCTACAATATTCCTGTATCAAATAAGATTAGCAACGAAACTAACATCGATTCAGAGAGATTGCCCAAATACTATGTACGAACACATTAAAATATACAGGGTGTCCGCAAAGTTGGGGTTTTCCTTTTCAGCAACAGCTACCCTTGAAATAACAAAGGTAATGTGTAGTGAAACGAGGGCGACCAAGTAAAAAAAATAAAGGAAAAAGTACTCACTCTCCAGTTAACGAGAAGGGCTAAGTACGTCTCTGCCCGAAATCATACCGCTCCAACAGAAAATGAAATCAGCTGAAGCGCTACCGAGCAGACGCAGAAACCACATTGATTGTCTTACACTTAATGGCACATCTTCTAACAAGGAAGGCAAAATGTTGCGTGAAAAGTCTAGGTATTGCATCCCGTCCAATCGATTTGGGAGAATAAATGGTCCAATGAGCATACCGTTCACCATGCCACCGAAAATGTTTGTTGAAAATGACCAAACATGAATGTTGCGAAAGTTATTCACCCCATTACGCGTGAACGTAGATTCGTCTGTCACCAATATGCACTTCAAAAAGTCCGGATTATTGTCATGTTGATGCAACAACCACTCACAAAACCGCACTCTTGCTGGAAAATCGTCAGGTTGAAGGGCTTGTACACGTTGGACGTGAAACGGATACAGCAGCCCCTCTTCACGCAGCGTTTGCCACACTTCAGTTTTTGATACTTGCACTTCTCTAGCCACGTCTCTAGTGCTTGTTGAGGGATTCTCGTCTACGCGATTGCCTCTACACGCGTGACCGTAACCGTCGGTTGAAGGTTGCATACTGACCTGACACACTGACCCCGACCCAGTTCTGTCGTCGGGTTGAGTCAGTGACCTTGTACCAGTCGGTGATGTCGCGGCTACAGGACGGTATTCAGATATATTTGATGTTGCAGAGCCCTTTATCTCGGTTCCCTTAAGACATTGGTGTATATGGTATTAAGAAAAATTGCTTATGTTTTCAAGATCTACACGTCGTGTAAAGGAAAACCCCAACTTTGCGGACACCCTTTATATTCAAGAAGCAGCTAATAAAGCTCTGGGAGAAAAACCCCTAAACAAACAAAAATAACCCCTCAGCTCCGTGGTAGAGTGACACGCTGGAAGAATTTGTTGAAAGTAAAAACAGAGCCTATAGGAAATGGCTTGGTACAAAAAATCCTCAGGGCAGAGAAGAGTATCTGGAAAGACGAAGGGAAACCCAAAGGGAAATCAGTAGAGCCAAAAACGATTATTGGGAAGAAACTTGCGCACTGGTGTACCGATTTATGGTTAACACAAGAGTTAACAGGGCCTGCTGGACTTAGACTCATTAGTATGAATCAGTGGACAAAATATTACAAAGAACTTTTAACTGATGACCGTCTACAGTTTATGGAGGAAGAAACCCCAGAGGTCCACAGGAGGAATTTATCGAAGAAGTGCCATATATTACACATCAAGAAACTCGTGGAGCTCTTAAAAATATGAAAAATGGTAAAGCTCCAGGGCCAGGAAACATCAGTGTAGAATTACTTAAAGCAGCACCAGACATACTAATAGAAATCCTAGCATATATTTTCAACAGATGCCTTCATGGGGAAGAACCTCCAACAGATTGGAAAGAGGCAATCAAGCTCAATTTACAAAAAAGGAAATAGGTCAGATTGCAAAAACTACGGTGGGATAAGCGTGATATCTACATTGGCAAGACTATACGGAAGAGTTCTCAATGATATACACGCTGTTATTTGCCGACGATCAGGTACTGATAGCTGGAGACCACGAGGATTCTAGTTACATGTCACGAAAACTGCAGGAGGAATACAATAAGTGGGGTCTGGCGATAAACATGCAGAATACTGAATGTATGGTGGTAGGAACTGACGAAACTGAGGACCTAGATATTGGGAATGCCTTTGTCAAAAGTTGCAACACATTTAAATACTTTGCGGTAACTTTAGCATCAAATGGGAAAAGCAAAGCTGATGTAGCCAACAAAATAGCCCAGCGAAGAAGAGCGATACGTCAACTAAACTCGCAACAAAATAACAAAAAGAAATAAAAAAGCTATGTATCGTTCAATTGCGGGAAGTATCAGCACTTACGGAGCAGAAACTTGGGAGCTAAATAAAAAAAAGAACAGACTTCTGTCCGTTGAAATGAACTTCTGGAGAAGAAGTAGCCGACACTCAAAGCAAGACCATATACGTAATAATCGAATAAGAGAAGAAATGGACGTAGATGGAACTATACTCGATACGATAGAGTCGAAGCGGCTAGCTTGGTACGGTTATCTAGAAAGAATGAACCATAAGAGATGGCCTAAAAGAGTACGGGAGTGGACCCCACCGGGAAGAAGAAAACGCGGCAGACCCTCCCGAAGCTAGAACGACGATGTAACAGAAGCCATGGCTTCCAGAGGGCTTCGAAAGGGCGACTGGTGGGACCGCGAGCTATGGAGGTTGAGACGCGAGAAACGATGACAGTCGTAGCAAACTCGCGTATATGTATATACAGGGTGGCGCATCGAAAACCAAAGAGACGCATCTACTGGCAGCTCAGTTTTTTTTTTGGAAAAACGCTCAGACCCGTCGATTTTGTTTTCGAGGGGGACACAGGTTTGGCAAAAAGTCAAACAGGATGGTGCCCCACCACATTACACATTACGTGTTCGGCAATATTTAGATCAGACGTTTCCAGATCGATGGATTGGTAGAAGAGATGCCATTGAATGGCCCCAAGATCGCCAGATTTATCACCCTTTGGATTTCTTTATGTGGGGTCGTTTGAAAAGCAAAATCTATGCTACTCAGCCAACATCATTAGAAGACCTGCGACAAAGAATTGTGAATGAGTGCCTCCAAATTACTCCTCAAATATTGCAAAATGTGCCGCAACGTTTTGAGCAAAATTTTATTATTGCATGGAGAGTCATGGTGCAAATTTTCAACATTTATTTGCCTAACGGGTCAGTTCATTCTTCATTTTTAAATTACTTTGCAGCCAAATGTATTGATCTCCACTAATGATGTTGTATTAGTTTTATTTAAGCTTTAAATCAATAAATCTTCAAAACTACTGAAGTACATTAATTTTATATCATAATAAAGAGAATTGAAAGACCTTTAAAATAAGGTATCACTCGACCCCCCTGTCCATTTGAGATTTTAGGGTTGGTGTCACCCCCGCCCAGGGGGCTGCACGTGCTAACGTGATTTCTTGCCAGACTTGTCTTCCCCTCGAAAACAAAACCGACGGGTCTGAGCGTTTTTCAAAAAAAAACTGAGCTGCCAGTAAATGCGTCTGTTTCGTTTTCGATGCGCCACCCTGTATAGTTTCGAAATAAGTAAAAAATGATCTACTCACCTTGCAATGCAGTCAGTTTTTAAACTGGAATTAGAAGTGGAGAAAGTGGAGATGGCGTTGTAAAAAGTATTCTCATTAGATTTTTGTCAATTTTCAAGTTGGTGGGGGTCCTTAAAACGAAGTACGTAAACAATTACCATAAGTCTACTTTTTCGCTCGTGCTTTTTCCAAAAGCTTGTATTTAACTGGACCTGTTTGTATTATTATTAGTATGTATGAACCGGGTGACCCGAACTTAAAAGACGCCGGCTATAACTCAGCAATGCCTTAACTTTTCTTTAATTAATTCGTAACAAAAGTGGACAAGGAAATTATTTTCAGCTTCCTAAAATGGCCGCAACGGGGCGTATTAGGACTGAGACTAGTAAGACTGAGTCGAAGAGAAATTTCTCTAACAGTTACCGAAATCCCAATGGTGATGGTGGAATTTGGAACACCCTGTATATTTTGATCCATAAAGCTATCGAATTCATTGTGTTGGAATTAGATCACAATTTTGAGGGATATTAGAGTTATGACAGATGTAGTTTCAAATATCTGTATATTACCATTTAATACCTCTCTACGCCACTGATATGTGTACAGAATGTGCAAAAAGAGAACTCGTACAGTTCATTGACAATTTGCGTGCTGTTGATATGCATTCGCCACTTTTTTTCCCAATTCTGCGATGCATAAAAGGAATTTCTAACTGTCGAATGTGCGGTAAAACATTAAGAATCAGTTGTACATTAAATATCATTCAATTAATCTAGTTACTGCATCCACGCTATCATTATCCAGGGCCGGCTTCAGAGTTTTGTGCACTCTCAAGCAAAGGATAAAATATCTGCTGTTCTCACACATTGATTGAGAATTCTGCACCCCCCCTCCCCCCTTCCATTGCAGTGCGCCTTAAGGCTTACCACCTGAAGTCTGCAATGGCCTGTATAATAATATGGGATCTCCTTGGAAGTACTGACCGACATGATATTTTTTTATTATTTTACTACTAACCAGAGGATACGATAAGAACGTTCTAAGTGAATGATGCTCTGATTTCGAAGTATTACCATTGTTCTGTTAATCCTATATGTATTTCTAGTGTCTCGTCAGCTAGGCTAAACGAATTTATATATTACACAGGGGTGCTGACTAACTTTTTTCATTTATTTTCACTGTCTTTGATCCGTCTCTCTTTTAAGCACTTTTCATTGAAAACGTTCACTTTTTTACTATTTTTGTTCTCGCTCGCTATTTATCACTATTTCCTCACTACTTTTTTTTTGAAAATCTCACTAATCTCACTAAAATCCATGCTTTGGACCGCCAGGATCCCTGATTACACTGAAGTACCCTTTACACGCTCAAAAACTTATTTTTTTACTTGCAGGTTAGCCTCCGGTTTTCCGGATCTTCGCACATGCTTGCTCAACCAGAAACTGCAAATGCTTAACTGTTGCATAGAAAGGAAATTGGCACGTGAAAGCTCCCAAACACAGTTCGATTCTGCCGAAAATTCTGATGACGAAGAGTTCTTTGACTGTTCCTCGGAGAAAACTGAAGAGGAAAATAGGAAGAAACACTCGCTGTGGAACCAGCCAGTTGGTAAGTCTATCATTTAACTCCGATTCCATCTCCATTCAGTCATTTAAAAACTAGTCAAGTATGATACCGTTTTATTTTGTTGGGCCACGTCATGTCAGTTTGTCTATTGGTGTAAATAAGGTAAACAAATTTGACGTTTTTGTTGAAATTCAAAACTGGAATATCTTGAAAATTTTGAAAATCTTTAGATCTTGGAAACTTGAACATTCTAAAAATCTCAAAACTTGAAAATCTTGGAAATCCGGAAAATCTCGAAAATCTTGAAAATTGGAAAAATCTTGAAAATCTTGAAATCCGGGACATCTTGAAAATCTTGGAACTCTTTAAATTTTGAAAATCTTGAAAATCCTGAAGACTTGAAAATCTTGAAAATTCTTGAAAACCATGAGAATTATGAAAACTTGAAAATCCTGAAAATCTTAAAAATCTTAATCCTGAAAATCTTAAAAATCTTGAAAACCTTGAAAAAGCTTGAAATAAATCTTAAAAATCTTGAGAATCTTAAAAATCTTGAAAACCTTGAAAATATGGGAAATTCTTGAAAATCTTAAACAATCTTGAGAAGCTTGAAAATCTTGCAAATCCTAGAAATCTTGATAATCTAGAAAGAGCTAAAACCGTCTTAGCAGCTCTTAGCTTGTCTGTTGGTGTAAAAAGGATAAAAAAATTTGACGTTTTTGTTGAAATTCAAAACTGGAATATCTTGAAAATTTTGAAAATCTTTAGATCTTGGAAACTTGAACATTCTGAAAATCTCGAAAATCTTGAAAACTGGAAAATCTTGAAAATCTTCAAATCCGGGAAATCTTGAAAATCTTGGAAATCTCTGAAGTTTGAAAATCTTGAAAATTCTTGGATCCTGATAATGATGAAAACTTGAAAATCCTGATAATATTAAAAATCTTGAGAATCCTGAAAATCTTAAAAATCTTGAAATTCTTGAAAATCTTGAAAATCTTAAAAACCTTGAAAATTTTATAAATCCTGAAAATTCCGGAAAACCTTGAAAATCCTGTAAATTCTTGGAAATCTTGAACAATCTTGAGAAGCTTGAAAATCTTGCAAATCCTAGAAATCTTGATAATCTAGAAAGAGCTAAAACCGTCTTAGCAGCTCTGAGCTTATTTTCAGCAATGTAGTCAAAGATCATACGCTAATGATTTTTTCGTATTATAGGAAGATTGAGCAAATTTGGTGACATGAAGCTCTTGAAGACTGGAGATCCTCTCTACATTCCGATAACCCAAGAACCCGTATTAAAGACCGAGGATCAGCTGGAAGAAGATACCGACGTCCTTCTGAAACTGGGATCAAACGCTGAAGCTACTGAGTTGAGAGCTAGAATCATGAGTGCTTCTCTGTTGTCTGATATGGAAAGCTTTAAAGCTGCTAATCCTGGTTCTATTGTAGAAGATTTCATAAGGTAACGACCTTTCGATATATTAATTTTGTTGTAAACTATCAGAATACCCGTTTTCACTGTTCCAATAGATTGCTGGAGTCATGATCGCCATACATTTGGTTGACTGTAAAGTTTCTACTCAAAACGAATCAACCATTTTTGTGCATTGTTATATCATTTATAGACGTTCCTTGAGGATTGAGTGTCGTCTGAGGAATGATCTCTCCGTAGATTTTAAATAAACAATAAATGCTCTTCAAGAGAGGATTCTACATTAACGTTGCCATCACAGGTTTAAAATATTCCAAATCTTGAAAAGTTTGAAAATCTTGAAAATATCAAAAATCTCAAAAATGCTGAAAACCTTGAAAATCTAGAAAACCTTCAATTTCCTGAAAATCATGAATATCTTGAAAATCTTGATATATCTTGAAAATCTTGAAACTTGAAAAACTTGAAAATCTTGAAAATCGTGAAAATCCTGAAAATGTTGAAAATCTTAAAAACCTTAGAAATACTTGAAAATCTTGAATATCCTGAAAATCTTGAAAATCTTGAAAATCTTGAGAAGCTTGAAAATTCTTGAAAATCTTGGAAATCTTGAAAACCTTGAAAATCTTGAAAACCTTGAAATCTTGAAAATATTGAAAGTATTAAAAACCTTGAAAATCTTGATATCTTGAAGATCTTGAAAAGCTTGAAAATCCCGAAAATCTTGAGAACCTTGAAAATCTTGAAAAAATTGGAAATCTTAAAGATCTTAAAAACCTAAAAAATCTTAAAAATCTTGAAAATCGTAAGAATCTTAGAAATCTTAAAAATCTTAAGAATCTGTTAAATCTGAACAATCTTAAAAATCTTAAAAACCTTAACCATCTTGACAATCTTTAAAATCTTAAAAATCTTAAAGATCTTAAAATCCCAAAAATCTTAAAAATCTTAAAAATCTTAAAAATCTTAAAAATCTTAAAAATCTTAAAAATCTTAAAAATCTTAAAAATCTTAAAAATCTTAAAAATCTTAAAAATCTTAAAAATCTTAAAAATCTTAAAAATCTTAAAAATCTTAAAAATCTTAAAAAATCTTACAAATCTTAAAAATCTTAAAAAATCTTAGAAATCTTTAAAAATCCTGAAAATCTTGAATATCTTAGAAATCTTAAAAATCTTAAAAATATTAAAAATCTTAAAAATTCTAAAATCATAAAAATCTTAAAAATCCTAAAAATCTTAACAATCTTAAATATCCTAAAAATCTAAACAACCTTAAAAATCTTAGAAATCTTAAAAATCTTAAAAATCTTAAAAATCTTAAGAATCCTAAAAATCTTAAAAATCTTAAAAATGTAAAAAACTTAAAAATCTTAAAAATCATTAGAATCTTAAAAATCTCAAATATCTAAAAAATCTTAAAGATCGTAAAGATCTTAAAGATCTTAAAAATCTTAAACATCTTGAAAACCTTAAAAACTTTAAAAACCTCAAAAATCCTTAAAATCTTAAAAAACCTTAAAGAATCTTAAAAAAAAACTTGAAAATCTTGAAAACTCAAAAATCTGGAAAACCTCGAAAAATCTTGAAAAACCCCGAAAAACTTGAAATTCCTGAAACATTGAAATGATGATTTTGGGAACACTTTGAAAAATGAACATTTGGAGAATCCTGAGAAAAAACTTGCGAAGGTTGACGTGTCTATCCAATCATGCCTGCTTCTTTGTTGGTTTCAATTAGTTTAAGAATAATGTACTTGCATTCTTGGTAGGTGGTATTCTCCTAGAGATTGGATAGAGGAAGAAGAACTGGATGAATGGGGGCAAAAGAAAGGTCACCTTAGTCCGAGGATGCTAATAGAAGATAATAATATTTGGGTGCAAATGTGGGAGTCTGCCAAACCTGTACCAGCCAGCAGGCAGAAAAGGTTGTTTGATGATACGAGAGAAGCTGAGAAGATTTTGCAATTTTTGGATTTTAGAACTATCGGACAAGTAGGTTTTCGAATTTCATATAGTACTTCGCATGTGACATCTTAAAGCCAACTTTCTGACCCGATAACGTTTTCAATAGTGATGTTATTTCGAGAACAAGGAAACTCCTACACTAAAAAGAATGTTTAGCTATACAGAGTCTTTTGTCTTTAGATATGCCAATTAATAATGCCAGTCCTTGCCCATTGCGCCATCTACCGGCTAGCTGAAGAGGCTCAACTAGTTTCTACGGAACTCGGCGATGCAGCTGTTAAAATTCAAAGCTTGCTGCGATACGGTGAAAGGATTTCAAGGGACGTGACGTTTCAGCCGAGGCGATTCAAGGCTTTCATCCAAGAGGTGACAGCACTGGAGCTGTTGATATCGCAGGTTGGTAATCAGCCTTGTTTTAGCAAAAGTGCCTACCGTGCGCTTTTGATAACGACATTATAGTATTAGTAGCAACATTTATTTACACCAGGTGATTTGAAGAGTTTAAGTTTGATACATTTTTTCCAGGGATTTTCTACTTTATTCATCCCTTTTTTTTATACTACAACTACCACGAAGGCCTAAGGCCTAAACACCCATTGGGTACAGTGCGGCTATAGGGGGATACAGTATAATGACTTTTTAACAAGCTTTTATTAGCTATGACATACAATAATCTTGTAAAAAGTTTGCATTTGTACATATTTAAAAAATGTTGAATCTTCAAATTTGGAAAAAAGTTGTTTTGAAAATTTGGAAAATAACTGGAAAACTTTGAAAGTTCGAAAATAATTTGATTGTTTGGAATTTTTTAAAAAAATAGAATTTTTGAAATTTTGTTGGATATTTCAAGATGTGTAAACATTTGGAAGTAAATTTAGATCTATTGTCAGATATAAACTATACCAAAAATCGAAGCTCTTGATTATAAGTACTTTTGTTGTCGCTTTCAGACTAAAAACTTAGAAACGAAATTAGAGTTCTCCGTAATTTTAAATAAACAATAATGTTCTTGAGGGACGTTCAAGAGAGGATTTAAATTTGCATTTGCACGGTAAGCTGTAACAGTTGCTATCACACGCTTAAAATTTGGAAAATTTTAAAGTCTTGAAAATACTGCGGTTTCGGAGATTTTTAGATAATTTGAGAATCATAGTTTTGAATATTTGTGGAGTTTGAAAATCTTGAAACCTTGAAAATCTCGAAAACCGTAATGATTTTGAAAATCGTGAATATCTTGAAAATCTAGAAAATCTTGAAAACCTTGAAAATTTCGAATATCTTGAAAATCTTGAACCCTTGAAAATCTCGAGAGTCTCGAAAACCTCGATCTTGAAAATCTTGGAAATCTCGGAAATCATGTAAATCTTGAGTTTTGAAATCATGAAGATCTTGAAACCTTGAAAATCTCGAAAACCTTAAAGAGCTTGAAAATCTTGAAAATGTTGAAAACCTGAAAATATTGAGAAGCTTGAAAATCTTGAAAATCATGATAATATCGAATATCTTGAAAATCATGAAAATTATGAAAATTGTGAAACCGTAAAAATCTCGCGTTTCTCGGAAACCTCGAAGATCTTGAAAATCTCGAAAATCATGAGTGTTGAAATCATGAAAATCTTGAAACCTTGAGAATCTCGAAAACTTACAAGATCTTGAAAATCCTGAAAATCTTGAAAATTTTGAATATCTTGAAAATCTTGAAAATGTTGAAGACCTGAAAATATAAACGCTGAGAATCTTGAAAATCCTGAAAATCGTGAAAATTTTGAGTCTTGAAATCATGAGAATCTTGAAATCTTGAATATCTCGAGAATCTGAAAAACCTCTAAGAACTTGAAAATTATGAAAATCTTAAAATTTTTGAAAATCTTGAAAATCTTGAAAACCTTGAAAATCTTACAAATCTCGAAAATCCCGACAACCCCGAATATCTTGAAAATCCTGAAAATCTTGAAAATTTTGAATATCTTGAAAATGTTGAAGAGGTTGTAAACGCTGAAAACCTTGAGAATCTTGAAAATCCTGAAAATCGTGAAAATTTTGAGTCTTGAAATCATGAGAATCTTGAAATCTTGAATATCTCGAGAATCTGAAAAACCTCTAAGAACTTGAAAATTCTGAAAATCTTAAAAATTTTGAAAATCTTGAAAATCTTGAAAACCTTGAAAATCTTAAAAATCTCCAAAATCCCGACAACCCCGAAGATCTTGAAAATCCTAAAAATCTTGAACATTTTGAATATCTTGAAAATGTTGAAGAGGTTGTAAACGCTGAAAACCTTGAGAATCTTGAAAATCCTGAAAAACATGAAAATTTTGAGTCTTGAAATCATGAGAATCTTGAAATCTTGAATATCTCGAGAATCTGAAAAACCTCTAAGAACTTGAAAATTCTGAAAATCTTAAAATTTTTGAAAATCTTGAAAATCTTGAAAACCTTGAAAATCTTACAAATCTCGAAAATCCCGACAACCTCGAAGATCTTGAAAATCTTGAAAATTTTGAATATCTTGAAAATGTTGAAGAGGTTGTAAACGCTGAAAACCTTTAGAATCTTGGAAATCCTGAAAATCATGAAAATTTTGAGTCTTGAAATCATGAGAATCTTGAAATCTTGAATATCTCGAGAATCTGAAAAACCTCTAAGAACTTGAAAATTCTGAAAATCTTAAAAATTTTAAAAAATCTTGAAAATCTTGAAAACCTTGAAAATCTTACAAATCTCCAAAATCCCGACAACCCCGAAGATCTTGAAAATCATGAAAATCTTGAAACCTTGAGAATCTCGAAAACTTAAAAGATCTTGAAGATCCTGAAAATCTTGAAAATTTTGAATATCTTGAAAATCTTGAAAATGTTGAAGAGGTTGTAAACGCTGAAAACCTTGAGAATCTTGAAAATCCTGAAAATCATGAAAATTTTGAGTCTTGAAATCATGAGAATCTTGAAATCTGGAATATATCGAGAATCTGAAAAACCTCTAAGAACTTGAAAATTATGAAAATCCCGAAAACCCCGAAGATCTTGAAATCCTTGAAAGTCTTAAAAATCTTGAAATTCTTGAGAAATCGTGAAACCTCAAAAAATCACGCTCTAATAGCAGGTGCAACTAAAAAGTAGAATACAATAACCAAGGAGAGTTTGTGTCACTGCAATAGAAAGTCCAACAATCAAGTATGACTAATGAACTTGAAATAAGATCAATATAAAAATTAAGATATTAACTAAAAAGTCAATTATAGTAAAAAATTCTATAGTGTATTTCCATAGTAAGTCCAATTTCATCAAAAGGAACTAAAAAAAAATGGCGTCAAGTAGAGTAACTCTTTACTTTCTTACGCTTTCGTTGGTGGATTCAAAGAAAATGGATGAGTCAAATTGTTTCAAAAGGCGAAATCCGATCGAATCTTAAAGTTGTCAAGTCTGGTGAATGTTTTTCAAGCAGTTCTTGTCATCTTCACCGGACAATATACATACAGGGTGGACCAGAAAGACGTACGAATTTCAAAATCGCATTTCAAATTTAGTCGCCATGGAGCGTTCCACCGATAAGAAGCGTGGGTTCTGTGTTAAGGCTGCCCTACACTTTGTAGTTTTTTTTTCTGTGATTTATTAAAATCCACTCATCTTGATTTTAAATTTCCGAAATCACATATGACGTTAAACGGTATATTTCCCTTGCAGGTGAAATCTCTGCAGTACAAATTCAACCCATCTGGAGCACAAAACGAAGCTATCAGTCTAATGGTGGCCGAAATGGTAGCCGGTAAAGAAGTTGTGATCGAAAACAAAGATACGTCCGAGGTTGGAGGAAGATTGCTGGCGATGTTCACGGAAGTACAGAGGATCTCGAATTTGGGAGCGACTGAAGGTGGAGAAAGCACCCAGAATGTAGTCAGCAGATCCGTGTTTCCAACACCTGCTGCAAAGGAGTTTGTACTGCGATTAAACGCGCCGAAACCAGCTAGTTATTCAGCGAACTGTCCGCAGTTTTTGAGGGCGGTGTTGACTAGGGATGATTTTAGGCTCTGCGGAGCGTTTTCAAGCGATGTTGCGTTCTTCTAGCTTTGCTTGTACTTATGGACCAGTTGCACAAAACAACAGTAAATCCGGCTTGATCTGAAATGATTTTGGAAATATTTCGGTCTCTCCCTGGAAGTACTTTAAATTTCGAAACTTTCTAAGCGGCATTTGTTGATTACCTAAATACGCAATTTTGTTCCCATTTAAGCCACTTTGGATCTCTTACAATTTTCGAGATCCCAATGATGGGGGTCGAATTTGAAACACCCTGTATAGGTAATTCGTTCAAAGAGCGTTAGATTCAAACATCTCTGGTACATCTTCATACTTGAAAGTCCAATACTTTGATCGTTTGAATTGGATACAAGCTTCATAGGGAGACGAATAGGTATAGGTGTGCAGGAAGTGACACACCAAAAGTTGGCACTATTTTTTAACTAGTTAAAAAAAGGCGCTTTTAATATTATTGCAAACAGAAACGTATAACTGACTGATTTAAATTGCGCGCCATTTTTGATACCCGCACGTCAGTAAGTGGCGCCGTAGTAGTTGTTTAAAGCACATGTGTCCAATCATCACACGACCTCACAACGCGTCCGTATTGTTAAAACTTTTTACTTGAGTTGTGACTCGATTCAGAAGCTACAAGAATTCGGTCGAAATTAGTTAGTGTGGAAATTGGAACAAACAGGTGAAGTTTAAGACTTGCCAAGAATCATGGTTTTGAATAGTTGAAAATTTTGAAAATCTAGGAAATCTCGAAAATCTTGAAAAATCATGAAAATATTGAGTCTTGAAATCATGAAAATCTTGAAACCCTGAAAACGTCGAGGAACTTGAAAACGTTAAAAACCTCGAAGATCTTGAAAATCCTGAAAATCTTGAAAATGTTGAAAAATCTGTAAATCTTAAAAATCTGGAAGATCTTGAAAATCTCGAAAATCTTAAAAACCTCGAAGTCTTGAAAATCGTGAAAATCATAAAAATGTTGAAAACCTTGGAAGTTTTGAAGAACCTGTATTTCTAGAAAATGTTGAAGATCTTGAAAATCTTGCAAATCTCGAAAATCTTAAAAACCTCGACGATCTTGAAAATCGTGAAAATGTTGAAAATCTTAAAAATCTTGACAATCTGATTAACGTTGAAAATCTTGAAAACCTTAAAAATCCTAAAAAATCTTGAAAACCCTGAAAATCGTTAAAATCTCGAAAATCATTAACGACTTTTTTAAAACAGACTTGCATTTACGGCCAAACAAAATTCAGTTAACCCAAGATTTACAGCCTAGTAGTGACCATGAAAGTCGCCGACAATACAGTCATGCAATATTGCAGCTCAATATCCAAAGTTCTTGTAAATACTGCTGTTTTGCAGAATCTGAGAATCATGGTTTTTGAATAGTTGAACATTTGGAAAATCTTGGAAATCTCGAAAATCTTGAAAATCATGAAAATATTGAGCCTTGAAATCATGAAAATCTTGAAATTTTTGAATCTTGAAAACCTCGAGGAACTTGAAAATTCTGAAAGTCTTGAAAATCTCGAAAATCTTAAAAACCTCAGGGATTTTAAAAACCCTGAAAGATCTTGAAAATGTTGAAAACCTTGGAAATCTTGAAAATCCTGGAAAATCTCGATAACCTCGAAGATCTTCAAAATCGTGAAAATCTTGATAATCGTTAAAATTTCGAAAAACGTGAATATCCTGAATATCTTGAAAACGTGAAAATCATGACAATCTCTAAAATCTTGAAAATCTTGAAAAATCTAGATAACCTCTAAGATCTTGAAAACCCTGAAAATCGTGAAAATCTTGAAAATCGTTAAAATCATGAGTCTTGAAATCATGAAAATCTTGAAATTTTAAAATCTTGAAAACCTCGAGGAACTTGAAAATTCTGAAAGTCTTGAAAATCTCGAAAATCTTAAAAACCTCGAAGATCTCGAAAATCCTGAAAAATCTTGAAAATGTTGAAAACCTTGGAAATCTTGAAAATCCTGAAAAATCTCAATAACCTCGAAGATCTTGAGAATCCTGAAAATCGCGAAAATCTCGAAAATCGTTAAAATCTCGAAAATCTTGAAAATCATTAAAAACTCGAAAATCTTGAAAATCTTAAAAACCTCGAAGATCTTGAAAATCCTGAAAAATCTTGAAAAACTTGAATATCCTGAATATCTGGAAAACGTGAAAATCATGACAATCTCTAAAATCTTGAAAATCCTGAAAAATCTAGATAACCTCGAAGATCTTGAAAACCCTGAAAATCGCGAAAACCTTGAAAATCGTTAAAATCTCAAAAACTTGAATATCCTGAAAATCTTGAAAACGTGAAAATCATGACAATCTCTAAAATCTTCAAAATATTGAAAAATCTAGATAACCTCGAAGATCTTGAAAACCCTGAATATCGTGAAAAATCTTGAAAATCGTTAAAATCATGAAAATATTGAGTCTTGAAATCATGAAAATTTTGAAATCTTGGAGACCTCGAGGAACTTGAAAATTCTGAAAGTCTTGAAAATCACGAAAATCTTAAAAACCTCGAAGATCTTGAAAATCCTGAAAAATCTTGAAAATGTTGAAAACCTTGGAAATCTTGAAAATCCTGAAAAATCTCGATAACCTCGAAGATCTTGAAAATCCTGAAAATCTTAAAAATCGTTAAAATCTCGAAAATCTTGAAAATCTTAAAAACCGCGAAGATCTTGAAGATCCTGAAAAATCCTGAAAATCTTGACAACCTTGGAAATCTTGAAAATCCTGAAAAATCTAGATAACCTCGAAGGTCTTGAAAACCCTGAAAATCGTGAAAATCTCGAAAATCTTAAAAACCTGGAAGATCTTGAAAATGCTGAAAAATCTTGAAAACCGTGGAAATCATGAAATTACTGAAAACCGTGAAAATCTTGAAATTCTTAAAAATCTTGAAAATCTCGATAACCTCGAAGATCTTGAAAATCCTCACAATCGTGAAAATCATTAAAATCTCGTAAAATCTTGAAAACGTGAAAATCCTGAAAATCTCGAAAATCTTGAAAATCTCAAAAATTTTAATAAACTTGAAAATTCACAAATATTCAATATTCGAATTAGTCAATTTCTGGGGGAAGAGGATGCAATTAATAATATCTGCGTTTGTGTTAAAACGAAAATTCAAACTTACTTACCAACACTAATAAATCGATGGCGCTAGACGGAATAACATTGAGAATCTATGATCGTACTTGTCTCGTTACCGAATACCCAAAAATGTGTGATGTACAAGGTGGCCGAAATGTAACTGACTGGTTTGTATCTTGAATATTTGTGAAATGAAATAAAATACGTCCATTTGTTTCATCTTAATATTTTATTGAACCTTAGAAATTATGTGTGAAAAATAGTATCAAAGAAATGTCCGCCTATAGAAGTCGCGCAAACCTGAGCCCTCTTGATTACATTTGCCAACACTTATTGGTAGGTTTCGGGAGAAATATTTTCAATTGTTTCCTTAATATTGTTCTTGCGTTGCTCTACACTATTTGGTTTATTGGCGTAAGCCCTATTTTTTTGGAAAATCCCCATATAAAACAAAGTCACGAGCTGTTGAATCCGGTGACCTTGGTGGCCAGTTGACATCACCAGATCGACAAATTAAACGTCCCGGAAATATTGTTCACAAAAGATTCAGCTGTGTGACAAGTTGCTCCGTCCTGCTGGAACCACATGTTTTGCGCTTTAAATTACCTGCAGCGTCTTCAAAGAAGTAAGGTTCAATGATGCCTCCATACCAAACCAAACCAAACTGTGACTCGACGAGGATGTAGTTGTCGTTGATGGATGACACAAGGGTTTTCTAATGCCCGGACATGACAAATCTGCTTATTAACAAATTCGTTGATATCGCAGTGGGCTTCATCGCCCATTATCAGTTGTCGTTAAAAATCGTTATTTTAAAGATTTTTCAGGATTTTCAAGATCTTCGAGGTTTTTAAGATTTTCGATGTTGTCATGATTTTCACGTTTTCAAGATTTTCAGGATATTCAAGTTTTTCGAGATCATAACGATTTTCAAGATTTTCACGATTTTCAAGATCTTCGAGGTTATCGAGATTTTTCAGGATTTTCAAGATTTTCAAGGTTTTCAACATTTTCAAGATTTTTCAGTAATTTTAAGATCCTCGAGGTTTTTAAGATTTTCGAGATTTTCAAGACTTTCAGAATTTTCAAGTTCCTCGAGGTTTTCTAGATTTCAAAATTTCAAGATTTTCATGATTTCAAGACTCATTATTTTCATGATTTTCAAGATTTTCGAGATTTCCAAGATTTTCAAAATTTTCAACTATTCAAAACCATGATTCTCAGATTATGGCAAAACCGCAAGAACTTTGGATATTGAGCTGCAATATTGCATGACTATTGCAAGTCTTTTTTAAAAAAGTCGCATAATGACGTGCGACGAATACCCAGTTCTTGGGGACGATGTCTGGTAGACGTCTCAGGGCGCTCCACTTCACTTTCACGAACTCTCTCGATATTTTCCTTAGCACGAACAGTTCGAACTCGGCCCGACCATGGCAAGTCTTTAACTTGACCCGTTTGTTCAAATTTCTGCACCAACTGACGAATTGTATTGAGACTGGGCTCATTATTTTGACCGAATTCTTGTAGCTTCCGAATCGTTGTAACAATCGACTCATTATTCAAGTAAAACGTTTTAACAATACGGACGCGTTGTGGGATCGTGTGATGAATTGGACACATGTGCTTTAAACAACTATTACAGCGCCACCTACAGAAATGTGTGTATCAAAAATGGCGCGCAATTTAAATCAATCAGATATATATTGGCCACCCTACATTGCTGCGATTGCATCCGTTTAATAAACGGTATTTGGGATAGCAGACAATTCAAGATGTTATGGTTAACTTTGGATACGCAAAAAGCTTTGTATTGTAATTTTTAGACATTGTTATTGCGATTCTTTTTATACGGTGGTTATAGGGTGCTTTAACTCAATAAATATATTTTATATTGTAATATGTTTTCTTGTTCATCTACTTCCCAAATAGTACAACTATATCTTAAACACGTTTTAAAAACGTCATTTTGAGATATTTGAGACGTCGTAAAGGGGTCTTGTGAACGTTATCTTAAAGACGACGTTTGTTACAAAAACTGCGCATCTTAAAGACGTCTTGATAATACGTTCGTAAGGTGTTAAAAAGACATAGTGAAAAACAGGCTCATAATTGAAAAAAAATGTTTTGTTAAAAATATTTTTTTTTGTAATCAAACTTTTTCTGGGTAGCTGTCCGGCGAACAGAAGCTCGTCTCAGCAAACCCTGATTGCTACCTCGAACTCATGATGGCTCTAGCATATACCATCAGGCTTTTCAGCAGACACTGAAATATACCGAGTGACAAAAAAAGGTAAACACCTACATCTTCTAGAATTCAAGAGTTTCTTACATATCGATTTATCTTGCCATGAACAACAAACGATAAAATGGTCAGGTTTTTCTGTTGACTGCGTGTATTGTTCGGTGATAAAGAAGCAATCAGTTTCCGTACATTTAAGGTGTCAGTTAAATATGAAATTTTATGTAGCTTATTAAGAAGTCTTTTTGTGATTGCACAAAATGCCTGGAGTGCGTAGAATTCGCCCAGTGTCCCAGCTCAGTGACTTTGGGAGGGGTCGAAGACCGGCTTCACGCATAGGGTAAGAGAAGTTTCTACGAGGACCAACAGATTCTTACGTAGAATGAACGGTCGTGGACTTAGGAAGGCCGAGGACAGCGAGCGAGGGGTTCTGGATGTCCCAGAGGGACCACAGCGCGACAAGACCGCTGGTTCAGGCTTCTGGCTCTGAGAGACAGATTCACTAGTACTCAAGCCATCACTAATTAGTGGTTTGAAGAGCATGGAAAGATGGTTGGTATACGTACGGTATATCACCGAAAACGACAGTTTGGCCTTTTTTCTTATCTCTAGGGATGTCGATGGTCGGGCAAGAGAGAGAAGGCGACGTGGTGAAAGACGTGACCCACAATTTGACACGTTCACGTCACCGTGGGAGATACGTTATGGGGTGCTATTGCTTATGGTAGCAGATCACCACCAATTTTCATCAGAGGCAATATGACAGCCCGGTGCTATATTCAGGAAGCGGTTGAGCTTCTTCCTATTCCATATCTAAACACCATTCAAAACCCGATTTTTCAGCAAGACAATGCCAGGCCGCATGTTGCCAGAGCATCGTTAGCCTTCATGGATCAGCATCGCATCAACCGTTTACCTTGGTCACCACGTTCGCCTGACCTAGCTCCAATTGAACATGTCTGGGACGTGATAGATCGCAGGCTCTTTAATTTCCATCACCCTCAACAGACTTTAGAAGCTCTTACTCACGAAGTTGCAGTGGCCTGGAATGAGATACCCCAGCAGGATATCGAACGCATATTGCTTCCGTTCAGAATGTTTGTAAGATAAACTTGCACAGTTATTTCCACCGGACTATATCCTTTAATCCACCCCGACTACGTCTTTTGCTTCTGTTCCTTATGTTTGTCAGATAAACTTGCACCGTTATTCCTACCAGACTATAGCCGTAAATCCACTCTGACGACGTCTATTGTTTCCTTTCAGAATGTTTATCAGATAATCTTGCACACTTATTTTCACCGGACTGTATTCGTTAATCCTCCCTGACGATGTCTATTACTTCCGATCAGAAAGTTTGTCAGATGAACTTGCACCGCTATTATCACCGTACTATAGCCGTTAATCCATTCCGACGACGCATATTGCTTCCGTTATGAATGTTTGGCGGATAAACTTGCACATTTATTTTTACCGGACTATATTCGTTAATCCACCTTGACGATGTCTATTGCTTCCGTTCAAAAAGTTTGTCAGATAAACTTGCATAGTTATTTCCACCGGACTATAGTCGTTAATCCATCCCGACGACGTCTATTGTTTCCTTTCAGAATGTTTCTCAGATAAATTTGCACAGATATTTTCACCGGACTATATCTGCTAATCCACCCTGACGATATCTATTGCTTCCGTTTAGACAGTTTGTCAGATAAACTTGCACAGTTATTTCCACCGGAATATAGCCGTTAATCCATTCCGACGACGCATATTGCTTCCGTTATGAATGTTTGGCAGATAAACTTGCACATTTATTTTTACCGGACTATATTCGTTAATTCACTCTGACGATGTCTATTGCTTCCATTCAGAAAGTTTATCAGATGAACTTGCAACGCTATTATCACCGGACTATAGCCGTTAATCCACTCCGATGACGCTTATTGCTTCCGTTCAGAATGTTTGGGAGATGAACTTGCACATTTATTCTCACCGGACTATATTCGTTAATCCACCCTGACGATGTCTATTGCTTCCGTTTAGACAGTTTGTTAGATAAACTTGCACAGTTATTTCCACCGGACTATAGCCGTTAATCCATCCCGACGACGTCTATTGTTTCCTTTCAGAATGTTTCTCAGATAAATTTGCACAGATATTTTCACCGGACTATATCTGCTAATCCCCTGACGATATCTATTGCTTCCGTTTAGACAGTTTGTCAGATAAACTTGCACAGTTATTTTCACCGGAATATAGCCGTTAATCCATCCCGACGACGTCTATTGTTTCCGTTCAGAATATTTGTCAGATAAACTTGCACATTTATTTTCATCGGAATACATTCGTTAATCCACCCTGACGATGTCTATTGCTTCCGTTCAAAAAGTTTGTCAGATAAACTTGCACAGTTATTTCCATCGGAATATAGCCGTTAATCCACTCCGACGACGTCTTTTGCTTCCGTTCAGAATGTTTGTTAGATAATCTTGCACATTTATTTTCATCGGACTATATTCGTTAATCCACCCTGACGATTTCTATTGCTTCAGTTCAAAAAATTTGTCAGATAAACTTGCACAGTTATTTTCACCGGACTGTATCTGTTAATCCACCCTGACGATGTCTATTGCTTCCGTTTAGACAGTTTGTCAGATAAACTTGCACAATTATTTCCACCGGACTATAGCCGTTAATCCATCCCGACGACGTCTCTTGTTTCCGTTCAGAATGTTTCTCAGATAAACTTGCACAGTTATTTTCACCGGACTGTATCTGTTAATCCACCCCGACGACCCATATTGTTTCCATTCAGAATGTTTGTCAGATAAACTTGTAGGTTTATTTTCACCGGACTATATTCGTTAATCCATCCTGACGGTGTGTGTTGCTTCCATTCAGAAAGTTGTCTAATAAACTTGCACCGTTATTCCCATCAAACCATAGCCGTTAATCCACTCCGACGACGTCTATTGCTTTCGTCCAAAAGTTTGTCAGATAAACTTGCACAGTTATTTTCACCGGACTGTATCTGTTAATCCACCCCGACGACGCATATTGCTTCCGTTCAGAATGTTTGTCAGATAAAACTTGCACATTTATTTTCATCGGACTATATTAGTTAATCCACCCTGACGATGTCAATTACTTTCATTCAGAAAGTTTATCAGATGAACTTGCACAGTTATTTTCACCGGACTGTATCTGTTAATCCACCCCGACGACCCATATTGTTTCCATTCAGAATGTTTGTCAGATAAACTTGTAGGTTTATTTTCACCGGACTATATTCGTTAATCCATCCTGACGGTGTGTGTTGCTTCCATTCAGAAAGTTGTCTAATAAACTTGCACCGTTATTCCCATCAAACCATAGCCGTTAATCCACTCCGACGACGTCTATTGCTTTCGTCCAAAAGTTTGTCAGATAAACTTGCACAGTTATTTTCACCGGACTGTATCTGTTAATCCACCCCGACGACGCATATTGCTTCCGTTCAGAATGTTTGTCAGATAAAACTTGCACATTTATTTTCATCGGACTATATTAGTTAATCCACCCTGACACGATGTCTATTGCTTCTATTCAGAAAGTTTATCAGATGAACTTGCAACGCTATTATCACCGGACTATAGCCGTTAATCCACTCCGATGACGCATATTGCTTCCGTTCAGAATGTTTGGCAGATAAACTTGCACATTTATTCTCACCGGACTATATACCGTTAATCCACCCTTACGATGTCTATTGCTTCCGTTTAGACAGTTTGTCAGATAAACTTGCACAGTTATTTCCACCGGACTATTAATCCATCCCGACGACGTCTATTGTTTCCATTCAGAATGTTTCTCAGATAAACTTGTACAGTTATTTTCACCGGACTGTATCTGTTAATCCACCCCGACGACGCATATTGCTTCCGTTCAGAATGTTTGTCAGATAAACTTGTAGGTTTATTTTCACCTGACTATATTCGTTAATCCATCCTGACGATGTGTGTTGCTTCCATTCAGAAAGTTGTCTAATAAACTTGCACCGTTATTCCCATCAAACCATACCCAACTAAAAATTATCACTCCTATTAGAGTTGCAAAAATGATTATACAGTATTCCTTACACAGCATTGTATACTGTAAGAACATTGGCAAAACCCTCTTAGAACAGCTAAACAAGCGGAATGGGCACACCCAATACGACACTTCAGTCATTTAAGAGGTTGTATAAGGGCTGCAGGTAACATTTATACAACAAAAGTGTCAGCCCCTTGCAGCCGCTATAGGACATTTGCGTCAGTGCAAGATTCAGTTTTTGTCAACTATACAACTATTCTGTTACGTGATTCTACTTTATTGCAACCAAACTATTTCTTATGTATTGCATAGACGAAGTGAAGAATATATAACTAACACATTACAGTCATCTTGTTTACTTACATATCGCCATTGTGAATTTCATACACAGGTATATGATAAACTTCTATACTGTGATATAGGGCTATTGAATTACTTGCGCAGCAAATTTTATTGTGATTATCGTGCAAAATAGTAACGCAATTTATACAGGCTTCTCATTTCATGCATATTTTGATAATGATCAAAAGTATGTCTAGATTTTTAAGATGGAAA